CCATTTTAACCCGCTGTTCACATAAGCCTACATACAGGGGGGGGCCAAAAAAAAGTCACTTTGCCCATGGCGCACATCATCAAACTTTTCGTCGCAAAGGATGCCGCTGTTATTGGGAGTTATACGGCGAAATATTCCTTAGATGTCCCCCCATAAGCAGAATCAGGCCCACCTTCGCTGCCTTCACCGTCTCCAGAATATGACGTCATCTGTCATCACCGTCGAGCTCAAGGAGGCCTACCATAATCGCTCCATTCTGAAGCTGCTACATAATTTCTTCAATCGGATAACTGGTGAATGGCTTCTTAGGGACACTAGCTCTGACTATGCAACATGGCTTTTGACCAGAGTTTCAGAGACGTCGTAATCGTCTATGGTTTCTCGACGACCCGTTAAGCTCGTACCGTGCACCAAGTTTCCGTGGGAAAATCTCCTGATGTCGTTGGTGTAGAAAGCCCCAATGTAACTTTTTTGATAGAATAGAATGTGCTCTTCAATACGCAATTAAGCTCATTCGGTTTGGTTCTGGCAAAGTGTAATTAATTCTGCTTTGAATGTGAATGAAAGTGACTCTTTTTTTTTTGCCCCCCCCCCCTGTAGATCCTACCTGTGTGACAGTGTGCGCCACTTGGTGCAGAATTTGTTCAACACGCAACCCCTGTCTTCTGTTGCGTGTTAAACAAATTCTGAACTGTGGAAAATATGATCTGCTAGGTGCCGCCATCCATGCGCATCCGAAAATTCACCGCGCATTGAGTAACCGTATCTAATAATGAGCTACAGTCGATATCCGAAAGTTGGGGTAGGTGTGTCACCGGAAGTGACGTGCACTTGATAGAAGTTGCGTGGATAAGCTGTTGCCAGCATGCTTTGCTGATAGCCAGCGATGTATGTTGGAAGCAGCTTATCCACATAGTTTCTATCAAGTGCACGTCACTTCCGGTGACACGCCCACCCCAACTCACCGATATCGAGTATAAATCTTGTTACGAACGCAAAATGAATTCAGTGTTTCAGTTTCGAAATGCGATTTGTGCGCAGTAACTTGTAGCTTGTTACCATTTCAAGGGTGCACTCTGATCTGGTCAAAGAAATGATTTAAAACGTCAGAACACCACAAAATTCGTTACGAGCTGCATCGCTTTCTTATAAGGAAGACCTGTACACTGTGCAACAAGAGACTGTGAATCAAATATAAAGTTCAATCTGTTACGATGTTTCCACAGCTATTATCTCATATACGTAAAGAATACCAAGCTGGAGAAAAGCGCAAATGTAGTTCACCTTAACTGCTGAAGCGCAACCAATAGCATGTTTGGGCTTCACAAGCGGGTTAAGGTAAAGTTGAAGAATCATAATGCATGTAGTAGACAGCCCGAGAAGAGTGAGTGGCAGAGGTGTATGAGAAGCAAAGATAGAGCGAAGGAGAAACAACTTGGTAGGAAAGTGTAGAAAAAGCAAAACGTTTCCGAGAAAAGTAATATGGAAAGAAAGTAGCCAAAGGCAGAGCTACATCAACCGTTATGTAAAGTAGTAAGCGACCGAAAAGAAAAGCAAAAAAAGTAGAAAAATAGATTGACAGTCAGAATGGAACAGACAAGAAGCGCAAGCATGTTAGTGGCGAAACAAGGGCAGAGATAACCATTGGAGTGGAAGAGCGGAATTAAAGAAAAGGCAGAGGAGTAGGGGAAAGCTTGGAGGGACTAAAATGGTATCCTACATTTTTTTGGTTTGTAACTATGAAGTACCCAAACCAAAGGCATAGAAAACCATGAAAAATAGGACGAATGTAACCAGTCGTGAAAACAGCGCGAAGCACTAATCCATTTTTCAGAAGAAGAGCAAAAATAAGAATTGCGAGATGCAATGTGTATCGTTCTAACGCGATGACGACTATTCAAACGAATGTTTCAGAATGAACTTTTGCGAATGACCTTTATATTGCGTCAGCATCAGAGTCACCGTCATCACTATCGTGGTTGTCACCGCGTCACGGATAGCAGTGTTTCACCAGTGACCTTTTGAATCCCGGAAGGTTACCGTGATAAGGCTGGCATCCAAAGAGTCCATTCCAAAATAAATGTATTGGGAAACATTTCCTGAGAGCTGATGCACCAGCCTCTTGCCAGGACGCTGCTCGTCCAACAAAAAAAAACAAGTTCTTTTACACCATACAATCAAACTCCTCCCGATCCCAAGTGTTGTAACAAGAACCACTACAGGGCCACCATGATTCCATGCAACATAACCGCCCCATAAGGAATCATGTCCGCATAATTTGGACGAGAGCGCCTTGTTGGCTCGGTAGGCCATGTTTCAACGCAGTCAACGGGATTAACCGATGGGCCTGGGAGGGGAACAATTTGAAGCGATAAAATTCGCTCTGAACAATTTTTTTCTTGTATGATTCCTTTTTTCTCTTCTCCTAGGCGTACAATTACTAACTGAATCCGTTCTCCGCGCCTCCCCGGTATGGCCGTAGTAGGGATATCAACCTTTCCGGTGCGACCGACTACGAATGAATACATAGATTGCCAGAGGTCCAGTTATTACGCCCCTCCTGCACATGTGGGTAAACAACGTAAAGATATCCACTTCTCTACAAAGATTTGAAAAATCAGAATGAGTCAGCTGTCATCTACTTTTTTTTGATAATTTTTTGTCAACAAAAAACCTGTGATGAAACGAACAAAGAAAAAGGGAAGGAGGAAACTTGAAGAAAAAACTGAAGGAAAAGTTTCAGTCATGTTCGCCATAAGAAAGAAGGTCAAGAACACTTTCTCAATGAACTTAATCATTCGGGAAATACTCCTAACAAAAAACTTAGTGTTTGGAACTTTCTTTCCTGAGTTTCGAGATTCTGAATGTATTCATGTCACAAAAGCGGGGATTAAAATGAACACTCCACGGCAATTTCCATTGCAACCACTGATGGTTCGAGGAAAGGATTGAGCTGGAGCTCTTCAGAAGAGCAACAAAGTAAAAAAAAAGCCTAGAAAGACGGAAATAAAAATTAGACATAAAGGGGCTCAAGAACAGGCTGAATGAGTCGAATGAGTCGACAGCGACCAAATTTTCTAAGATGCGTCACATTCAGTAGCTCCGTTAGTGGCTCGATCGCACATTTAAGCTACACTGTATCGATGACAGGTGTAATCGACTATGCAAATGTCACAGTAAGCAAACGCCACACAGTTAGCGAGAGTGGCCAGATCAGATTGATTTCCGATTACCTCAACAGAACATTGAAATTGACGTAAAAAGCCTGCAAGCCCGGACCAGAAGAATTTAGCTATTTTTGATCACTCGATGACGAGAACATATTGTTTCTTTTCGGTAAACAATCAAAAAGTTGCGGTTACATGAATTTCACTAAGAGGTCTGCTTTCCCAAACACTTACATGTAGGGAACAACACGAAGAAGCCCCGGTACCATTTGAAAAGAAACCCCGATGATCACTGCAATAAACGCATCCCAAGTGATCACTTTTTACAAGGCCCAGCACATCGATGACGACAATGATGACATTCAGCAAAAAGCACCTACCGCTCTTGAATATGAATGAAACATTTGAGACGGAAGCTTTCAGAAGAAGAGAAAACTACAAGAAATTGAGCAGAAGAAGAGAAAGCTACAAGAAATTGGAGCAATTCTAATCAATGCTACACTTTCGCAATCCAGGAGCTTCTCCCACAAACCGGTAGTATTTAGCTGTTGAAACAGCTGCCCTCACCCACACGATACCTCGACATTAACGACGCAAAGAGCAGAGAGAATGGCAGGATGAGGTTTCCACTCAGATTGATCATCAGCGAGATATCAAAAACTAGCACGAAAAAAATGACACGAAAAGGCTCATATAAATTCCACACAACTGACAACCCTTTCGAAGACAGTTGTTCTTCGCGGGTTTACGCACATCAACACTGAAGTGCCGGTGTCGACCACACAACGCTCTATGTAGGACGCATTGCAAAGCTTTTTTATTCCATGGGCAGAGCAATATTGGAAATTTGGCGAACAGGAACAAGTTACGAAATGACCTAAAAACTTAGCTTTCAATAACTGGAGAGTTACGAAATACTTCCGAGTTTTGGGATTTTTGCTATTCATCGAGCAACCCTAACAGTGAAACACATTCTGTATCAAATCAGCACAAGATATCCTCTTCTCTACAAATTGACATGTCGAAGAGTGTGTTTGAGACCCATTAGCCTGATGATGTTGATTTCCATGAAGACCTCGGTTTACTTGTATCGATAAAGTTGAGTAACAAAATAGTAGAGCCAAGTGGTTGAGAAGGAGACGAGTTGGTCACTTTCAATCAACCCCTATGGTATCCATTAAATCAGTATGTCCTTGTCCAAACAAACAGAAAGACGTCTACACCCAATTTACGAAGGACAGAGACATTTAAGAAAAGCAATTCAGCAAAGGGCTTTTACCACCCCATACAAGATCACAGAAACCTTTGGTGACCATTGTTTAAACAATTGAATAAGAGTTACTCTCGCTTGAAAATAATGATGTTCTGTAGAAGCAATGTTAAGAATAGAAAGGGATCCCATATTTGGAAGGTATGGCTCGCATATGAAAAAATATCAAAAATAAACACTTGAAAGAAAATCTGATAAACGTTACTACTAAATGAGGCCAAATTTTTTAAAGTGCCAAGCAAAACGCAGACCGTGTAGCTGGCTAATGCGCCCACTCAAAACTAACAAAACTGATAAAACGCCATTTTTAATCAGTCTCCTTCAATTAGAACCACAGACGTGGTCGGGCGTGACTTGGTAGCGTGATTTCACAGCATTCCAATGTCATTAGAATGAAGCTATGAGCACATGACTGTGCTACGGAATGTGATAAAATGCTACGGAAAAGGGCAGCAGCCAATCGATATCACAAACTACAAATACGATCGACGATGGTACTGTTTGCAGGAATCGCACGTACAAAATGCACCACAACGCGGCAGTGCTTGATATGGAATGGAAAACTATTCAAAAGAGAAAAGAACCTTACCGCTTTTCTTCTCGATCACGTAGCATGCGCTGTAGAAGTCATGGAATATCGTAGCAAGTTGATAAAGGTAATCGCACAGCTGTAAAGGCATATAAAGGAGGAACTCAGACACCCCTTGACTGTTCTTTCATGAATGATGTGACGTATAGTACCTGATGGAGCATCAGTGAATCCAGCACTTGCAGGATACAATCAGCCAACTTGAGAATCTGCTTCGAAAGCGTCAACTCGGCAGGATGAGTGATTGGGATAGTTGGATTGTGCGCGATATAGTCACTGAGTGCTTCGGCAGCAACACCCGACGTCCTCACAATAGATCTGCAGATAATGAAGAAAGTTAACCTATTCATTTACCCGCTCACAACAAATGTTCCAGATAACAGCATCAGAATCAATCGCAGAGAAATATCGACCTCTAGCATTATGGTATAGAACTAATTCGAAACATTTCTTGAGCTCACCGTATTCTGGCGTACGCATACAGTAAATAAACAGCAGTGTTTCCCTTGTCGTCAAGCATTCGATCAAATGAGAACACATAGTCCTGAGTGCGAGTATGAGATAAATCCGCGTACTTGATGCAACCATAGGCTACGGCATCACGAGCAGCTGTTAACTCCGCCTCATTCATCACCTGAAGATTATCGCTTACTTTTCATCTAGAGAGAAGTCAAAAAGAAGTGGGCAAAACTTCATGTAGGCTTTGAATCACTTTCTGCAAATCCAACGATGATAATGCTGATAACAAGCCGCAGAGATCAAAATCTCGAGGGTAAAAACCGCTCAATCGCACTTGGTAAGTCAATGACCGACTAAAGGAAAGAATTTTTAGTGTAGCTCACATCTGCTCTTCCTTTCTCTTCGAGTTTAGCCGCAGCTCGTTTAACTCCTTCGTCAAGAAGATCAAGAAGGCGAACAGTTTCACCGGATCGAGTTTTGAACTTTTTCCTGAAAATTATGCACGACTGAATGTATAGCAGATGATTCTGTCGGGTTGGAAATTGTTTCTCACTATGGCTCAGCATTCATCAATGAGAATCTGTCTCACTCAGCCACCGCATTGCGCTTTCCTCCAGAATTCCACGCACAATGCATGTTCACAAGTAGAGGAATTTATTCGAACAAGGAAATGATCGTGGAGTACTGCTTAGCGCGAATCTCTCTATTTTATGACCAAGCTAGTGTGACAGCAATTCTGAACTCGGATCAGAGATGAACACAGTCTAATTGCTCCTGTGGATCTACCCTCCGGGAAGTTACACAAAGTACCAGTTTTCTGTGACTCCTATTTGAATGACAAAAACCTCATGAGGAACGGAAATGAAAAAAGAACACAAACCTATCCTCTCCAAGCACTAGTCCGAAAGCCACATGCTCTACGCGCTGTCGTGATTCGTCATACCAGCCAAGTTCGCGGCCAGCGGCGAAAACAGTCTAAATTGAAGTTTGCTGTAAGGGCAGGGATAGAGACTATTAAAAACCAATAACCTCTAGATGTAAGCTTTGACCAGCATCGACGACATAAACAACCCAGTCGGCTTTTTTCTCATGCAGTCGGTATCGCAGAGCAGCCAAATCGGATGTATCGTATGTATATCCTCAAATATGAGATTTCACGAAAATATTCAAGACAAAACGGATAAATTTTTTTTTTTTTTTTTTTTTTTTTTTTTTTTTTTTTTTTTTTTTTTTTTTTTTTTTTTTTTTTTTTTTTTTTTTTTTTTTTTTTTTTTTTTTTAAAAAAAATGCGGGAGTTGGGATAAAATGGTTACCCCAGATAACTGGTAGCGCACTTGCCCGGAAGCAAGAGGTGCGGGTTCGAGTCCCGTCTGGGGCGAAAGTTTTGTTCACAACCCAGCATTCTTGTGAAACATTCGCAAGGCGAACTGCGGCCAAAAACAGCAGTTAACAAACAAACAAGTCAAAATTGTTTTTGTTTTATTTTTATGTTTTATTTAATTTTGAAATGTTAGAAAGGCTGGATATGAGCCAGCCCTACAAAAAATTAAGTAGCGGAAACTACCAATAAATACAGCGAGGAAATTCAAAAAATATCTGTAGTGTGAGAGAGTCGATGTGTTTGCGTGAGAGATAAATAGATCACTCTATTGTGAGTAAGGTTGAAAAAAAAAACAGGGAAAGCGAACCTCCGTCGCTTTTCACTATGGTCAGTGGTACTTCACATTTCTCTGGAAAATAGAGGAGGCGCCCTTCTTCTTCTCGGAAACGATCCAATTCTGAAAAAAAAGTGTCCCTTTGAAAGTGCACAGTAACAAAAGGTTGAAAACTCACGAGTTTTCTTCAAATCTTCCACTAGAGTGATCATCATTTTCTGATAGAAGGACTCCCCTACATCTTCCAATACAATGTCAAGTCGGTCGTACACGATCTGGTTATCTAGAAAAACAAATCAGGCAATCCTAGTAGAACAATTCGATGAAGCTACTAGCTAATTTTCTTACATTTCTTCGAAATGTTACAAATCATGGTCCAAGCATTCACGATTTCTGGGTCGTAACTTTGCAGCTTTACGACGCAGTCGTAAGCGCGTTTTTTGAACTCCGGATCGTCATCGAAACGTTTTTTGGATTCCTATATGAAACAACTCAGAACGAGCACCGGAAAGTAAAGTAGTGGCGTTATGTACTCACCTTATAAAATGCTTGCAGATCACTGATAGGAGGCGGTTGTTTCATAAAATCAGGATACCTATCATAAAGGTATGCGATCAGCATTCCAAATTGTGTTCCCCAGTCACCAATGTGGTTGACCCGGAGAACCTGAAAAAATAGGTCTTCAAAGGCAGGCGTAAGCAACACACAGTCCCGAAAAGCGTACAGAATGGGACTTACATCGAAGCCGACATGTTCTAGAAGACGACAGATTGAATCGCCTATGATGGTTGAGCGCAGATGCCCCACATGCATTTCTTTGGCTATGTTTGGTGACGAGAAATCGACAATGACTCGTCTCGCATCTATTTGCGGAAGTTGAACACCCTCAAAAAGAGAACAACAAGTAGTCACACAGGAACGAAAATGAAAGATCCCACTTTTTCATTACCATGATAACATTTCATACTGAAGCAGAACCGAAGGCTTCAGCTAATTATTGGAAATTAAATGTCGTCTCTTGCTAACACCAACTTATGAGTGCATATAAATTTCCAAGAACTCAATGTTTCGTCACCATGTTGCTTCCTAGACACTTTCTTACATTCAGACGAATTCCGCCGCTATGGCCGATGTCAGACTTTACAAATCGAGCGATTCGCAGTCTGACATTGGCCCATCTAATCCCAGTTTCTTCGCCTTTATTACCCCCTCACATACGAGGGCCAAGAGTATCTTAGAATGTCATGGAGCATGAGTGCGCAAACAGATCACAATCTTCTCTTCAGGAGTTCATGAATTTGGATATTTACATAGAAACCCGCTTCCTTGAATTACTTCAGCCAGATGATAAAAGGCATTTTCAGTTAAAAAATAAATAAAAAAATAAATAAAGTAAAAAAATAAATAAAGTAAAGTAAAATAATAAAAATAAAATAAAATCAATCTTTTGGGATGCGGCACGCATTCTACTTCCATTTGTACATTCAGTGGCATTTGAATGCGATGTGGCCTATACAATGACTTGCGGGGGCCAGCCGATGTTCAAGTCAGTGTTTTTATCCTCCCAGACAAGTCTGGTACCAATTAACCGACCCCGGAGGGATGGAAGGCTTGGTTGGCCCGGGCGACTCACGACCCAGGATTTGATCCCCGGACCGCTCGCGTGGTAAGCGCGCCACTTGTCACTACACCACTTCCGCCCCAGCTATGATACCAAAAATCGGAAAAACATCGCAAGCACACAAGAAGAAACGGCATATCCCTGCACTGAGACCCTTGCCACAAAATTTGTTAAATGTAGAGAGTTCAATCCGATACTGAACTGGCACGCCTAACCAACAACTGGACGTCAAGACCCTTCCAAACTAAAGTTTTCGCGTACAAGGCAGAGTAATTAAAAAGTACAAAAGAAATCAGATAAATAGTTTTGAAGTCAATGGATACACTGCTAGGTTTTCAAATAAAAAATAAAGTCAAACAAAAGCTAAGCAGGGATGCCTTACTGAAAGACCCCAGAAAATATCCGAGGTTTGTGATGTTAGATTTAACACGTTGACGACATCGCATGTTTTGGCATTTTGCACCTCGTGGGACAGGAGCGATTTTGCGACCGCGCCGTCCTCACCTTACTTACGCTTATTTTTTGTTAAAAATGCACAATAACTTGAATTTCATAGGACTATTTCGGCAAGGACGATCGCACAAAGGTTAAGTATATAAGTAGCAAAAGGTTTTCGTTTAGAAGAGCGCATAATAACCACGAAGAAGTAAAAAAAACATCACTTTCGCTGCGAATGAAATTAAAAGCATTTATATCTAAGTACTCCCATCAAATCAAATATATTGAAACTCACAGAGTTTTGTTTCAACTAACTCTAAAATCTTTCATAAGAATATTGACGGCAGTGAAAGTATTATTAAGAAAGAATCGGAACGAAAGTTTTGTGCGTTCGGAAAATCTTTGCTTAATCAAAATCATAAAGACACTTAATAACTCTCGTAATAACTTTAATAAAAAAAACAATTAAAAAAATTAAAATAACTTCGTATAGCATAAATTAAACGAATTCGAAAAATCTTTGCTTAATCAAAAGATACTTGACCACTCTAGCTGCCAAGCGGTTTATAGTCATGCTAATGTATTATCTATAGAATGAATACAAGAAACCCGAGAGGAAGGAGCGCAAGCACGATAAAAGTGAGTAGCATAGACTTGACGCGCTTGCGCGTCAGAATGTCCGATGCGGTGCGAAATTCTTGACGCGCATGCGCGTCAGCTTGTCGTCAACGTGTTAAAAACAGGAACAACAACACACATAATTTAATAACAGGTCTCTCGCAAAATAATTTGAACTACACATTTGGCTGGTGAGCGATAATAATACTCACCTTTGATGCTATCTTCCCTATTTGAGCTTCTATGAAAGATTTGTTCAAAAAGACATTGATGAATCCTGCAGGGACGACTTCAATCTGAAGACATAAATAGAAAAAATAGCAAACACTGTAGATAAAAACGAAGCCACACCTTTTCAATCAAATCACATGGCGGGACCTTCGACTTGATTTGAGTGGCAACATCAAATGGCCGCAAAACCGTTCCAGCTCCTTTCAACTTCTAGAAATTAAACATAAACAGATGAAGTCAAGCTGAGGACCTCATACGTACCGCAGATATTCCCATTGCTGAATTACATTGGTAGTCGCCAAACTTCGGATTTGTGGTTTCTGTCAATGCCACGGAGACGTTCTCAATGGAAGGGAAGGCCTGAATTACATCCAACTCATGCCTTATCACAATATAGAAAAACACTGGACAAAAGGTACCTCTTTAATAGCGTCTTTAAACAGATCAGAGAGCCTGCTTATTATGCTGGAGCCGTAGTCCTTGACAATGACATAATTGTGCTTCTTCGCCTTTGGAAGCACACCACTGTAAAAACAAGTACCTTAGTGGGAAGGCCTATTTCAATACTCGTGAGCCTAAGAAAATGCGGAACACAAATCACGAAAAGTCAAAGTATCAGCCTTGCCTGTTTGAACCTTTCTCCTTCTTAGCGACCGGAACTCCATTTTTGGCACAAGGCTCTTCTCCACTGGGGTGTTTCACACTTTTAGGTGCACACTCCATCGCTTTGTTGGATTCAAGTTGTTCAGCAAGGCTCTGAAGAGCTGTTGCATTTTTCAGCCTATCAGCATACACATCATAAAGTTTCAATAAACATACCCGTTCAAGGATAATTTTCCTGTACTTCAGTTTCTCTTGCAGTTTGAAAGCCGAGGCAAGCTCGGGACATGCTTCAAGGACTTCATCGGTCATCTCTCCTCTTTGCATAGCATCCGCGATACGCTCTAGTCGTGATACTTCAGCTGCCTGAATTTGAATTATTTGATAAATGTATGTGACTACTCATTAGAATACACAAAATCGACACTATTCCACTATTACCGCTCCAAAATCTCAAAATTTTATTTTCCGTCGAAACTTTTGTAACAGCGTCGTGACCAGGTTAGCGCTAACGAGCGCAATAGCGCCAACATCAAACTGAATGCCCTCGTCCGTAATAGTGGCATCGATATCTCTATATAGCAAAGTTTTGCGAACAAATAATTTTTGAGATTTTGGAGCAGCAATGGGGAGTACAGCCTCCGAAACTTGCAAAATCCGGCGTCAAGCTCTCAAAATTCCGGTAGCTAGTTCATGAATATAATAACCATTCAACTGCTGCGATTGAGAGGCTGCATGTCGCGATGCTCCGGAGACCTGATCGACGATCCTCTCACTACAGAATGTAATACTATAGAGATTTTTAGGCTGGTGTCAGAGTCCGCGATCCGTCGCAGGTTTCGCTGATTTTCGCGATTTGCGCGATTCACGCGACGGGTCACGGAAATCACAAGTGCCCGATCAATACTGCAAGGTGTTCTCCAATCCTGCCGCCACTTCTGCTTGATAGTGATGGCTGAATGACGACTGCTCATGATTCCACTTGTTTCATATTCAGTGTTTCAAATGTTCACACACTTGCAATTTTTGCGATCCGTCGCGTGAATCGCGCAAATCGCGAAAATCAGCGAAACCTGCGACGGATCGCAGACTCTGACACCAGCCTTACTGATGAAGTAGTTTTACGGAGACAATACGAGGATTCCCAGGATTTTCAATTGTAAGGTGCAATAAAACTATGCAGGCTTTCACTTACACTGCTGCTGCAGAGTTCGAAATAAGACTGGATTTGCCTTTAGTGCGAAATCGCCTTAGCCGGGGAACGCATAGCAGCGTGTAAAAGAGCATACAACCGTATAAAATAAAATACAGCAGAAGCAAAGCAGCATGGCCGAGAAGACGCAAAATCATAGCCCGAAATCCACTTAAATGTGGTGGATTACCAAGAAACAGACATCCATATGATCTGCGTCACTAAATAGTGGTGGAATTACCAAGAAAACAGACAGCATATGATTGCGTGCACTTTATTCAAAGCAGTTTCGCAAGAACCAAGATCCGACAATGTTAAATGAGCGCAGTTAACAATGCTCAGGCCACTGCCATAACAATAGAAATCAACACATAACAGAATATTTGTACATTTCGCAAGTTCACGAGGATTTCAAGGACGGAGCAGTTGGAGTGTCATTCAAAATTCAACCTTCTTTATCAAAAGGTAGATGTTGGAGTCCAACTCAAACCCGTGAAGGTTGAATGCCTGAAAATTGGAAATGACAGTTGAGCACATTTTGTGAAAGATTTCCTCTGCTGAAAATCCTCAAGCAACACGAACCTCTCCTTTCAACCTCATAAGAAGGCCACCAAAGGATGCATAAGCTGCAATTCTGCTACCATCAGATCCCGTGTCGTCTCCTTCTATTCGATAAACTCGCCCGAACATTACATACTCAAACTGAGCGACACGTGAATAATTGGCCTGAAATGAATGATTATCTAGGGAAAAATAGTTTCTCAATCAAAAATCTTCAAATGAAAGGACAACAGCATGATATAAACGCAATTTCGGGGATGTAGAATAACGTATTGCACACTGATTGCATTTCCATTTACGAAGTGACAGTCAGGTCATGGGTGTAATATTGCATATACGGTAGAATTGTCACAGTTTGGATCGAGATGCTGGCTGGTGGAAAGAAAGCAAGAAGTACTATTTACTCTATCAAATGCTACTTACCACGCAAGCGGTAAAATAAAATAAAGGATAAAGCATTTGCCGTTGATCAATCCCTTTTTGGGATGCGGCACGCATTCTACTTCCATTTGTACATTCGCAGTGGCTTTGAATGCGATGTGGCCTATACAATCTCTCATCTCTAGTCCCTTCGACGCCTAGTCACCGGCTTTTTCATGTAAGTTTGTACAATGCTAACAAGAAACTAAAAGGGAAGGAATTCACAGAAGAATTTGCTTATTCTCTTTCCTTGATATCAGTGCCTGAAACGCCTCCAACTCATTTTAACCCAGCTACTTATGCCCTATTATCGAGGAATGTGTGTGCTTTTACGCCGGAGTCCGGGATCAAATTACAGGTCTACTCCAGTTAGGGGGCGACATCGATGCTGTTTTTCCGAAAGCTAGGATAACTGCGAGCCAGGAGGAGTGTAGCCAGTCTACGGGCGCATGCATAGTCGGTCGTACGATCGCTGCTGTCGGACGACCGACTATGAATGCGCCCTACGGAAGTGGGGTGAGGGCAGCCACTTCACACGCGTGAAAAGCTGGAATGTTCGAGTTCACACTAGTTCGCCAAGAAACTGCATCATGATGCCCCCTAAATGGAATAGACCCAAAACTACCAAATGAGTTTCTGAGCTGCGAAAAACATTCTTTCACACTCTTTCGCTTATTCAATGTCTCAACCATACTGCTTACGGCTAGCAGAGAAATTAATGGTTTAATGAAACTCAGTGCGGGTCTATTCCAGTTAGGGGGGCATCATGATGCAGTTTCTCGGCGAGCTAATGTAAACTCGAACATTCCAGCTTCTCACGCATGTCAAGTGACTGCCCTCACCCCCACCCCCCTAGGCTGGCTACACTCCCCCTGGCTCAGAGTTACCGTAGCTTTTTGGGAGTCACCGCACCATGATGCCCCCCCTAACTGGATAGACCTCAGTGCTGCCGATGAGTAGGTGAAAAATAAAAAGTGGGAATGGGTAAAAATAAAGGTAAAGAAACGGACCAGTGGGTCAAACTCTCCCTCATCAGGCATACCGTCATCGCGAACAGAAGTAGTGATCATCAAGCGGAACTTATCATTGAGATTGATTGGATAAATTTGGGTGTTCACGTCCAATATAAGTTCCATACTAAATACATGTATGTGTAATATGTAATATGTATGTTACACACAGAGGAAAAAAGCAACTTTCAGAATAATGCTTCCATGAACGGAACCGAAAAAATAAAAAAAATTATTCAGGTCATTAGATTACCAACCTGAATGATTCCGAATCGCAGAGAAAGCGCCGAGAGCATCTGTCAAACTTCTTGCCATCGGGATCAATGGTTCTTCACCATAAACATGTCATCAAATATAACGTCAACTGGTGATTACGAATGAAACAATAAACCCGAATCAAATTTCGCCGATCTACAAATTACGCGTTAAACTCCGCGTGTCTAGTGCGACCGCGACTAATGCTTCTGCAAACACGCAGCAGCTTTGCTTTGGCCTCCGTTTTGCCAGTAGGGTTGACAGTTTGTGTGTTAAAGCTAGTATAGCTGTCGGTCATAGGGTTGGGGTTTTCTGGACTACTCCAAGTACTCAGTTTGATTATCTTTCCGCGCAGCGGGCAACATTGAACTGGGTATGTGCGCACACTGGCGCTCGCGACGGCCTGTGCACGTGTTGCAATCAGCCGCTTTGAAACGCTCACTTATGCGTGCGCGAGTATTTGATTCCGTGATTCTAAACTATTCTGGTGCTAACTTAGTTGGGGGGGGGGCACGCGGCGGCGCGGCAGTCTGCTCGCCTGGCATGTTCGGAAATCCGTGGGCCAGGGGGAGTGTAGGCAGTCTAGGGGGTGGGGGTGGGGCAGTCACTTGACATGCGTGAAAAGCTGGAATGTTCGAGTTTACACTGTCTCGCTCGAGAGAGCCCAGGTGAGCAGACTGCCGCGCCGCCGCGTGCCCCCCCCAACTAAGTTAGCACCTTCGCAAGTTACGTGTCCTACTCTGTTCTATCACTATTCTGTTCCTGCTTCCAGCAAATCTGCACTGTTTTCTCCAAAAAGGATAATACTGCAGGTAAGTGAGTGATAATACCAGTCCTCCTCTCGAGATTTACACAGGTTGTTGTGGGCTTGCATCACCACAACCCTAGTGTGAGTTCCAAGAGGGAACTAAAGCCGCTTCTTTTAAGAACGAGTAACTCCGTAACTAGAGGACGATTATCACTTTGAACTTCCATCAAGTTTCTGAATCATTTGTTCCTGCTGACTTTCAGTCTGTCTCACTGTTCCTATTATTCGTGCATTTTTTGTGTGAATGTCTGATAACTACGTGCACAGGCCAGTTCATGTATTCTCTGTGGCGTAGGTAAAATGCATTCATTTCACAGTTTCTTTCTTGTTTTCCTAGGTGATAGCGAGAAATCTGCTACGCGATTTCTTCGAAAGATCTTGGAAGAGGCGATTGGAAAGGTTCTTGAACTTAGCATGAGTGCAAATACATTTGTGCTATTCCTTGACAGCCCTCTGAGATGTGGGACAGTGTGCAACATGAGTGCTTCGTAACCGAACTTTTTTTCTCCACTCACACCTTTCATCATTGTTTTGTCTGAGCGATTTGCCTAGCCTGCTAGCTCACTATTCACCTGTCATCGGAAATGCCTTCCGATACTTACCACACCTATTCCATAATTGAAGACATTCCGTATCGACAACACTTACAAATACAGCTTGCATTTTTATTAGCAAAAATAGCTACCGGCGCAATGCTCCTCCGAGAGGGGTGGCCAGTCTGTCAGAAGGCTACTAGGACTAAGCCCAACACAGAGGACGAATTCCGGAGCGAATGAAAATTGCTTACGCAGCTCGGATTCTCTCTTATCCTCCAAAGCTTAGTTCCAGAACTGAGCAAATCCGTGGTCGAGTCTTGACAGCCATTCCGGCCGGAGCCACATTGCGCCTAGTTACTTAGAACAAACAAAGTAACTCAGCACTAATGTATGAGGAATAGAACTGTATATGATAGAAAAGCGGAGAACAATGTTTTCGTTCCCAAAAGTTCGCTTCGGCGCAATAGATTCGTTCGCTCCAGTCCCTCTTGGAACTCACACTAGGGTTGTGGTTGATGCAAGCCCACAACAACCTGTGTAAATCTCGAGAGGAGGGACTGGTATTATCACTCACTTACCTGCAGTATTATCCTTTTTGGAGAAAACAGTGCAGATTTGCTGGAAGCAGGAACAGAATAGTGATAGAACAGAGTAGGACACGTACTGGCACAGAATAGGATAGAAGTCACTAGGAATAATACTGCAGAATAAAGTAACGTTTCAAAGGCTGATTGGAAACGTGCCAGGCCGTCGCAGCGCCAGTGCGCGCACATAATCCATTCAAATTTCCGCGCGCGGGAAGATAATTCAAACTGAAGTACCTTGCGGGGAAATAGCTGGGATCCCTCCAAAGAGATGAAAGGGTTTGAATGAAGCAGGGGTGGCAAAGAACTCACAGAAGCATGCATCTGTGTGGGGGAGGTTCCCACCCTAAATATATCTCGAGAGGGAAGATTGTTTCGTTTTACTTCAAACCGCCTCTAATTGAGCTTGTTATTTATCTAACGCTGGCATGAAGCTTCTTTGTTTTCTGCGAAACCTTCGACAACGTCTATCGCACGTCTCGGTGTCATCACAGCTGTCTTTCTGACTCACTGTGCGCAGTCTGACAAATAGTCACCAACCAAGATGCTTGAACGCTTGTGCTGCCAGGTGGTCAGCTTAGCTGTACATCTGCTTCATGACCTGCTTATGATTAAGCTGCTTTTTATCACTCCCAACTCTTTTCTCTTCTAGTTTTCTCAGCTTCATTGTGACCTTCGCTGCATTTTAGCACTGACCTCCTTAGTTATGATGTAGTTTTTCGTTGACTTGTCCTATTTTCAAGTCTCCAAACTCCTAGAGATCGTGCTGCTGTGAAATGGTTCAAGGTCACGCATCTTTGCTCAACCCCCAAATCTCTCATTTGGAAGCTCGAGAAAATAGCCTGGGATCGTTACGGCAATTCAAGGAACAAGAAATTTTCCCGAAATATACAGCGCCAATGTCTAGACGTCATCAAAAGAATCGAATTTTGGAATGGGATTTCATAGTGTTTTCACTGTACCACTTCATGTGTGTTATGTACCACTTCTCTATGGACAGAATGGTCAGAATCAGATTCAAAATAATTGGGGCGAGATCGTGGTTGAGTCCCTAGCCATTGAGCTGAAGGAAGGAAATGATAACATACAGTCGATATCGGAAAGTTGGAGGTGGACGTGTCACCGGAAGTGACGTGCACTTGGTAGCAGTTGCGTGGATAAGCGTTGCCAGCATGCTTTGCTGATATCCAGCGATTATGTTGGAAGCAGCTTATCCACATAGTTTCTATCAAGTGCACGTCACTTCTTCCGGTGACCGCCTAACCCCCGCCTTCGCGATATCCGAGTAAATGGTAACCTCCATTCAAAAAGTGAGCAGTGACGTCGCAGACCAAACGACCATGACTGACGCGGCCCTCCAAGTAAATCTGGTTAGAAGTTGTTCATAGTGATAGCTGATTTCTGGTAAATGATAGTTGTAATTAGTGAAAATCGATAGAATACAACTGCAACAGGCTAAATCATCTTCATTGGAAGAAAACATTAACATTTTGTGAAGACCGTCGTCACTTGTGGTGCATGGTCTGCACCTCACACTTTTCTCGCTTTTTGAAGGGAAGGGTATTTGAAGAAGATTTTCACGAAAGGTCGGAGGTCGAAGAATGTAAAATATACCAAGTCGAAAGGCAGGTGGATTTGCTAATGAAGGGGTCCGATGTGTGTTCTGTAGGGAAGAGCATGCCCAGCAGCGCCTGGTAGAGCCGTACCCGCACTTACCCACCCTCTACCGCTGACTCTAACCGTTTTAGCAGGGGATATTACGAGAGGAATGAAAAACTCTCGTCCGCATCCATGCGGAAATTAAAAGGGCAAGGGGTCCATCACTATTTCGGTTCTGAGCTCATCTCTCATCGGTTAGTCTTTATCCGTACGCCAAACGACACACGCTCCCATACTTGATTTCTCGTGGGCTGAGTTTTTCAGCTAAATTCGCACTCCTTCTTCAAAAGTTGGTTACCTCTATGTCGTCTTACTCAGCACGAAGCCACTGTACTTCCGACATCTTCCTCAGGCTACTAGACGATGAAGTGACTAGGGATGGGCGACACAATCAAAGCAATAGTTAAAAATGATAAGAGAAGGGTAGAAGATCAGTACTGACGTTGTGGTGTGTGTTTTTGAAAGGCCATCATAGATCGTACAGGCATGGACCTGTTCTGGAATTTGTTGTAGCGTAGATGAGCTCGCGCTTGGAGTACATGACGATCATTTTTTGGGCTTAAAGTTAATCGCGGGCGCCGCTGCGAAACGTCAACTAATATTCTGTGCCATTGATGGCTTTTGCACGCACCACCCTGCTCATATCATTTCCTCCTAGTTGCCTGGTTTTAGCCTCATCTGAAGGCAACCATCGCGAACTCAGTAATTGACAAGAAACCACACTAGTGGCTGCGTACTCAGAAATCGAACAGGACCGCTGGGGGAATGCCAGTTTCACCATTTAAAACAGGTGGTAAGGGCGTGAATACCTCAAGACGTGAATGCATCTCCACGCCCTGCGGCGCGTACGTTGGTGTCGGCATCTCTCGCGTCCTCGATGCTCCCTTGCCTCCGAAGCTATTCCTTAGCCTTATAGTTAGCTCAAGTTTTTGTCGTAGATTGGGCCGAAAAAGGTCGAGCCAGAAAAAAATTGGTGGCGCTTAGTTCCAAATCTGTGTCTGATCAGTTTTTCCTCTTTTTCTATTCCTTTTCTAATGGTCAATTAGCACCTATTGCTTCATGCTTGAGCTCCACATCATTTTGCTCCTTCTCTTGCAGAAGGTCCTTAAGTTGCATACAAGGGTGAGCGTTCTCTAGGAACGTCGACCTTGGGCGAAATCGTCCCTGATCTGTTGAAAAACGTTTTAGTATTGCATAATTGAAGCGTTCCGTTTGGATGTATTTTTCAATTCTCCCGGATGGGTCATTCTGCCCCCGTGGAGCGGGTCGCGCACGGGATCAGTG